CTGCGAGCGCGCGTTAACGGTTTTTAACACAGGGTAGTATAGGGAGTTGGGAGTCCTTGGTTAAGTCATAGAATAATAAGGCTACGCTTTATTATTAGCTTTATTATTCTATGGTTAAGTTACTCAAAGTTACCTTTACTTCAGTGCTTCAGTTCATAGTTGGGAAGAACTCTCTAGGCTAGGAAGAAGTGGAAAAGTTCGCGCAATGGCTTCTCTAATTGATAGCAGAGAATTTACTAAGCGTGTCGCTATCAAAGACTTGAATCCCTCTGTTACCAACATATTGATAATTGGAATTGTTATCGACAAACGAAGCCCAAGGATTGTATCCTGTAAGAAGAGTGAGTGTCATATTGCGTTCTTTATCTCTTCCTACATCCAGGCTCATCAAAAAGTTGATGTGGGAGGTCTCGCCTCGGAGGGACGCTTTCATGGGATTTGTCCTAGGGTTGAGTTCTGGGAATGAAACTTCAGGATTTTTCTCCAGTCAATGTCCGTACAGACGGGGCTCTCACATTCCTGTTGTAAATTTGCACGCAAAGATTTATTTGTATGAAATGAGTGTCTATTCAACTGGCACTAAGGTGATTTGACGGATGCCATTTTTTGTGTCAGAGCGACACGCGATATATCGCATCAATTCGTTCCATAATTTCAGCTACTGGTAATTTTTTTCGAATTTTGAGATTGCACCTCTGTTGTCATTAGACTGAAGATTTCATGTAGGTACCAAATTTGACGAAACAATTTAAGGGGATTCGACAGAGGCTCAGGTTGAAATCTGTAATAAGAGATCACGCTACCGTCGACGACGCTCTGAAAAGACCGCGAAGTATGAATTTTCATAATTTTACCTATGTTGTGATAAAATTTCGAAAATGCATTGCACTTTTTCAAATTTGGAAAAAAATCAGTTCGAGCCGTAATAAAGCCGGAATCCTGCAGACGGCGATGGCACCGCGGAGCGAATACGGTAGTTAGGCACGGTTCAAGATGAAATTTTAAAAAACTAGGCTGTGAGATGAAATTTGGAAAAATACCATTTATAGCTATGGATTTGAGGAACCTACTGTAAAATTTTTAGCTCAATCAATGCTCAAATAAACTTAGGATCGTGAAAACAGTGAATCCACCTAGTTTTGAGTCACCATCGACCGCTTCCGCTCCGAAGCATACTGTGAGAAAACTAAGCCATAAATTGAAATTTGAAAAAAAATCATTTCTAGTTATGGGTTTCAGAGACCCATTGTCAAAATTTCAGCCAAACCAATGCCCAAACAAACTCTGAATCGTGAAAACGGCTAGTGCAACTTGGATCGATTCTTTATCAGCCGCCCCTGTTCAGAGGCGAAATTCAAAAAATCTAAGGCATAAATTAAAATTTTGAGAAAAAAATCTCTAGCAACGGATTTGAGCGACCTACTGTCAAAATTTCAGCTGATTCAATGCCCCAATAAACTCGGAATCTTGAAAATGGCGAGTGCACCCTTGCGTAATTACACCAGGTTTTATGTCAGGTCCATTATCAATGTAGATCTGGTAGGCTTAGAGGTTAGGTCACTCATGTAAACAAATGTTCTGATTTGAACTAAGTTATGTGCAGTTTTTTCTTGATTTCTGTGCTAAATTCGATCAAATTTTTGCTTCTCTGCTATATTCATCGTAGTGTTTGTCATCCTAGTTATATTGAGTGATTTTGATCTGTTATAAACCTCTTCAATCCTCTATTTTTCTTCCACACAAATGACATCAGCTTCAGGCCGCTCCTCTCTGCAGCCCGACCACAGATTTTGACTTCCATCGATATTGATAGCAGTCAAAGTCTGTGGTCAGGCTGCTGGTAAGTTACTGTTTTCAATTTTCAATTCCTAAATACAGCTTATCATTTTGTTAGGGAGAGTTAAATTAAAAATTATACTTTACTGAAAATCGAATGTGGGCCCCTTCATAAACGAGTGATACAACATTCACTGCATGTGTGTATGTGAACCTCTTTTAGGAGCCCAAGCGGTTTGCTCTTTGCAACAAACGCTACATTCGTGAATAGAAAGTCCTTGAAGGAGCACATAACGTCCTCTTTCTTTATTTAACTTTTGCATTTTATATTCAGAATCTTCATAAAATC